CGGCCGTGCTGCGTGTCGCGGCGTGCTGCGCTCTGATGTCCAGCCCGCCCTTACACCCGTGTTCTTGTCTCTCGGGAAGCCTCTCCCCCTGTGCCGGCTGTCCCTGCTGTCCGAAGGGCTCTGCCTGTCTCTGCCCCGCTCCACTCCCCTGCGCCCGGCCGCTTCCTTTTGCCCAGCTTGGCTGCGGGCCGGCATCGGCACCGGCCCAGTTTTCTGCCTCCGCTCTCTGAACCCTGGGTGTGTTGAAAGAAGGAGGGCACGTCTCCCGAGCCACCTCTGTCTGGACTTGCAGAGAGTCATCGGGGTGCAGTGCTGAGGAAAACGCTGGTGCGAGCTGTTCGGCCCGGGAAGCGCGTGGAGGCTGGGGAGGATGGTATCGCTCTCGTGTCCTGCAGCCGCGACCCTGCGGAGCAACAGACCCTCCGAGCTGATCCGCTGAGCAGCTAATGGTTCCCTGGGATAGCTTCCCTCTGTGTGGATCCCAGCAGAGGGGCGCTCGTGTTGTACAGTGGCGTGTACCAAGGGCGCAGAAGGCCACGTTCCCTGGTGAATGGGTGTGTGAGAGCTCCCCTCCCGCGGGTGAAGCGATGGGCGCTGCCTGAGCCCTTCGTGAGGACAAAACCTCCCTGCGAGTGCCCAAGGCCAGGCTGGATGAGGCCTGGAGCAACCTGGGCTATGGAAGGTGTCCCTGCCCATGGCAGGGGGTGGCTTTAAGGTCCCTTCCACCTAACCATTGCACAGTTCTGTGGTGCTTGGGTTCTGGGGTTTTCGATCGCTTTACCTGCTGAAGAAGCAATTACGGCAGTGTTTCTCACGTCCTGCAAACCGAATCCGTCGGGAGATACCTGAAGGGGGCAATGGCCTGGCAGTCGTCACCCAGCGCTGAAGCAGCCTGCTGAGGGTTTGAAAAGGCAGCAGCACAGGGTATCCAAAAGAAAAAACAGAATATCGAATTTACCTCCACATTTCATCTACTTCACTGGAATTCCTTGCGAACAGCAAATACTTAGGTGTACAAGGGCGATGGCTGGGGGCCTGCTCAAGGAGAGGAACATCGTTCCCACGTGCTGCTCGCTGCTGCTCCTGACTCAGACCTGATGGCGCGTGACTCGGCCTGGGGGCGCGGGTAGGGGTGGTTTTTTTGACCGACGAGCCGTCTTTCCAGTCCTGGGAAGGTTGGGAATGGGGGAGAATCCCTCCTTTGTGTACGGTTTCAGGGGAGCATGTGCCTCTGCTGCCGTGCTGGAGCAGCCCGGGTTTTCACTCGAGGTGTTCTTCCCCGTCACCAGCCAGGAAATGAGGCTGGGCATGGAAAGGAAAAGCTCAAACTGGGAATGGCCCTGGGAGTGGGGTCACCCTCGAACAGGTCTCGCTCTTGGAGACGGCTTCCGTCCTGCTGGAGGGAAGCTGTTTAGCGTGTTCCGTTTCCTGTTTCCCCCCAAGCCCAAGTAATACCCAGCCTTGCAGGCCCTTTCAGCTCGCAGTCACCGAACTCTTGCACGCCCATGGGGAGAACACGGCTCCTGTTTTCCACACCCGCGTGGCACCAGCAAGGCTCGTGTTTCCACGTACGCGCTGTAGTTGCGCGGGATGTTTCTGCGACAGCAAGTCAGATTTAAGAAATTGCAGTAAACTATGAATTTTTATGGCTGAAGGAAGCGAGGCCCAGCAAAACGGAGACCCACCAGCTTTGGCTGTGTTTTGCATGAGGAACAGGATGACGTTGCTTAACGCAGGTGTTGGGGTGGCTGTGTTCTAGGCCAGCAGCAAAGCTGTACCCTGCTCACGCCTCTTCTCTTTCCGCAGCTCCGCGATGGTGGATGGAGTTATGATTCTTCCCGTGCTCATCGTGATGGCCTTTCCCTCCCCGAGCTGGCAAGGTGGGTGTCGCGCGCGGTGGGGCCGGCTCGCCCGTTGGAGCCGCCTGGCACGTTTCCCGGGGGGAAATGCCTCTCTGGAACAAGGTGTTGGCTTTTCCATTTCGGGTTGCTTCAAAGGGAACTCCTTGCCCGTTTATGGAACTTGGAGCGTGTGCGATGGGCAAAGGCCTTGCCAGGCCTGGGGAGGGGGGGACCCTGTTTGCGTGGCGAATTGCTGCGCTGGGTAACCAGCGGGTCTCCCCAGCCCGCGGGCTGAGGGGCAGTCGGGTTGGTTGTAGCCATGAAAGCGAAGGGGTTTTTCCTCTGGGAAGGCTCTCTGGAATGCTGAGTATGATGTTGGCCACTCTCTCATGACTGCTCCAGAAAGGCCTTTGGTGCAGTAAGTGGCGTTTTCATGAATTGCTTACGCAGCTCTGCACACCAGGGTTTCACGCCGCACAGCGTGTGCCTCAGCCAGGTGGGAGAAGGGTGTTCCCACGGCCATGGAGAGGCAGGGGTGGTTCATCTGAAGGTGATCTCCTGACAGATGCTCGCTGCTTCGCAAACGGCCTTTTGAAAATGTTGAATCAAGGTTTTCTCTGAGTTACTTGGATTTTTTTTAACTTTTCAGTGACTCGAGGTGTATCTGGTGTTAGGGCGCGTCTGTGCTCTTTTCTGTTTCCCTTGTGAAACCTTTCTGAAGGACCCCGCTGAAACGCGTACGTTTTCACATGCTGATGCAAATACGGAAGGCAGGGTATATTACATGGAATGAAACCACAACAGTCGGAGCGGATGGAAGGTGAAGATGAAAAATGCAGGGAGGTCTGGTGGTTGGCTTCAGTCATGTCTGTGAGGAGGAAACAGAGACGAGATTTAAAAAGGGAGGAGCATTGGATGAACGTCTGCGGAAACGCGTTCAACTGCTGATGCTGTCGATACATTATTAGCCAAAGTAAGGTTCGGTAGCAGGTTCCACACCGTGCTTTAGCATCACTCCTCAAGCGTGGCTATCTGCAGCTTGACCAACCTGCCCCCCCTTCCAAAGCTGCCCTGCCGCCTCCGGATCGTGGGCATCCGACCTGACTCCGCTTGCAACAGGGAAAGTAGGTGCTGGGGCTGCAAGGCTGTCTTTCTGTTGAAAAGATGCCAGTGCATGATGAGCGAGGGAAGAGGTACTAAACCCGTGCCATGCCGTTTCCTGTCCCGGCTGACCGTGATGCGGCGGCTGGAGGTGCAGGATGCTGCCTGGTCTGGGAGCAGAGCTGAACGGGATGCCCTGCTGGAAGGGCCTTTGGATGGTGTGGGGTGGCAGGAGTGAGCGAACAGGGATGAGCAGGTGCTCCTGCTCTCCATCCGCCTGTGCCCCCTGGGCATCCTCAGAGGGCTGTTTCCTCCTCGCGTCACGCTGGGGAGAGCGTGTCCAGTAATTCCTTTTGAAGAGCTGTGATGGGCCTGGATTTCTCTCCAGGGTGGCATGGCTCTTGGAGCCGAGCTGTGACAATCTTCTGTGCTTTTTCTGCTTTATTCCTTCCCTTCTCCTTCCCTGGTACCTCTGTGGAGGTGTCGATGCTCTGCTGCCAGGCCGCGGGGCTGGTGCACCCTGAGCAGGGTGCTTTCCCACATGTTTTTCCTGAACTGAGTAAAAAGTTGAGGTTTTGGGGGAGAACAGTTAGGTTGCCTTCCCTCTGCACCAAAGACCACAAAAGTGCAAAGCCGCCTATTTTTCCCCCCCCTGCATATTTTGTCACAGGTCAGTCCTTTCCTTTCACTGGGTTTTGGGGCGGTGTTTGCTTTTTTGATGAGTGAAACGTCAGGGTGTATCTTAGGGTGGTGCTCAGGGCAGGCTGATTCTGTGTTCCCACTGGGCTTCAGAAGATGAGATGGAACATGAAGACCCCACAACCCACCCCAAAAATCAAACACTGTAGAATTCCAAGGGCAGAAACGTCTCTTCCCTACTTGGATGTCCAGAAAACCCTTTTATTCTAGAGGTTTCTCGCAGCGCTTACTGCTCTAGCGCTTTACTGCAGCGCTGCGTCTCCATCAGCCCTGTGAAGGGGGAAGAGGCTTTTCTCCATTTCCCGGGAAGCTAAACCCTGGCTGGAGCAGAGCACTCGATAGAGTGCCATGCCTCTGCTGAGGAGTGAGGTTTTCCACCTGCTAGGGATGGTGAGGGAATGCCACTTCCTGATCCCTCAGAGCCCCTTCCAGTGCCTGGGGGGCTACAAGAAAGCTGGGGGGGCTTTTTCCAAGGGCAGGGAGTGACAGGACAAGGGGTAATGGGTTTGAACAGAAAGAGGGAGATGGGACATCAGGAAGGAATTCTTCCCGCAGAGGGTGGGAGCACTGGGACAGGTTGCCCAGAGAAGCTGTGGATGCCCCATCCCTGGGAGTGTCCAAGGCCAGGCTGGATGAGGCTTGGAGCACCCTGGGCTATGGAAGGTGTCCCTGCTCATGGCAGGGGGTGGCACTGGGTGGGCTTTAAGGTCCCTTCCCACCCAAACCCTTCCGTGGTTCTGTGATCCCAACAGCTGTGTTGGGAGTGCACGGCATGTGAAACGCTGCCCTTGCTTCTGCCCCGCAGTGACTTGGGAAGGTGTCCGGCCATGTTCAGCTCTGGCTGCTGCGGCTTCCCTGCCTGACACAGCCTCTCCCTGGGCCAGCTGGGAAGGGTCCCGGGTCACACCATGGCCAGGAAAGGTTTGGGAGCTACTGAGGCTCCAGAAACTACTGGAAGCTGGCTCTGGGAAGAGCCAAACCCCTCCCCAGCAGGGGGGGCTGCCCCTCTGCCCTGCCTTGGGGTGTCTGAAGTGGCTGTCAGTGTCCCAGCACTCGTGCTGCTTCTGCTTTAGGGTTTTCTGTAATAGGGAGAACAATAATAAAGCTGACCAGCTGGTTTAGTGCTGGAAAACTCAGAAGCTTTTTGCTCCTAAAAAGGACTGTCAGGCATTGGAAGGGGCTGCCCAGGGAGGGGGGAGTCACCATCCCGGAAGGGATTTAATAGGTGTGTGGATGAGGCGCTGAGGGACATGGGTTCGTGGTGGCATTGGCAGTGCTGGGTTAAGGGTTGGACTCTGTTGAGGGTCTCTTCAGCTGCTCTCCGAGATAAGCTTTGCCCTGGATTGATTCCAAGGCTTTCCGTTTGAAGGGAGGGGTCCCGCTCAAAGCCCAGCGGTGTGCCTGCGGAGGAGACCACAGCCACGCTACGGCTGCGAGTGCCCCTGGCTCGGGCAGCAGATGCGGGTGGCTCCGAGGGCTGGGATCGTCCGCGCGTGTCCGGGGTTAGCCGATGACCGCAGCGTCTGTGCATGTTCAGTATGCGGCCGCGCAGGCACGGCGCCTTCCCTCTGCGCAGCTGTGGGCTGGGAGAGCTCCCGCCGCGATCCTCGGCCCTCCCGTCCGACTGAAGGCATCGCTCCTTGCTGTGCGTCGCTCCTCTGCCAGGAGGGGTCAGCTGGAGGGAACTGCTCCCCTTGGACGGGCGCCGTTGCAAGGCGGCATGGCTTGGTGAGCGAAGGGCTGGCTTCTTGAAGGCTTCTTTACCTCTGGCCATCTGTGGCCACCTGGCTCTTTCCAGCCACATTCCTAGGAATTCCTCGGAGGCCTCATGGTGCCACGCAGGAGCACTCGTGCTAAACGTGGTCCATGTCTGTGCAGAAAGATGGGCTCCTCTCTCTCTGCTGGGTGAGACTTAGTCCGGCGAGGAGCAGGGAGCTGGGCTCTGATCCCATTGGCCCCTTCCAACGTGAGGCACTCCGGTCCTACGGAATTTTGAAAGGCAGGGTATGCAGTGGTGGGGCATTGCTGGGAGGAATGATCTGGCGGTGTTACAGCCCTCCTTTAAGAGGTGCGTGTGATGTAACCAGAGGCTGTCTTTACAAAGAAAAATGAGATTGTGACGGTATGGTTGGTTTTTTTCTTACCGTGTTTGGGATCACTTCGATACTTGCCAGCTCCGTCACCTGGTTAACACAGGCTGGTTCTGAAGTCAAAGTGAGCTGGAGAAACTGTGGTGCTGTAGTGCCAACAAGAAAAGGTGGCCAAGTTCCTGCTGTATGAGCTGTTTTGGTGGAAAATGAATCTGCATGTGGAGAGATGACCTGAAAATTAGCTGTGTTACCAGAAATACGTAGTGTGCTTCTCCCTGGGGAGAAGGAAGTTTGCTGTTTTCCCAAACAGTGAGCAGCGTTTCCAGTCCAGGAATTGGTTATAAGACCTGAAATAAAACCATCCAGACTGGTAGCTGGTTGTGGGAAATGAACCTCGTATAAGTAATCAACAAATAACTCTCTTGGTTTCCTTGCACCCAAAATTCCCGTTGTTCACTCGCGCTCGTGGGGCCTTGCAGTTTGGACTCGGGCTGGGGCCGTGTGCGCGCACGCAGCGTGACAGGTCCTTGGCTGTCACCGAAGGGGTCCAGCGGGGGACCCTCTGCTGTACCGGTTGGAATGTGGGGTGTCTCGGCTCTTGTTCTGCTGAAATCCTGAGGTAATTAGTCAGCGCTCATAACTGGGGGCTTTCACAAAGTGTGTAAGCAAACAAAGTAAAGGAGCTTCAGTTTTGACACTTGCATAATGATGAACTAATTAGTTCCTGAGAAGCTAATGCAAAGGAGAGGGTCTGTTTCCAACCCAGGAGTCCTGCACCAGGAATGGTTCGTGTTTACAGCAGACAGTTGGTCCGTGGACACATCAGGATCTGCAGCAGCTCATGTACGTGGTCAGCGTTGCTCCATCGCATGGACCCGCAGCCCGTGTGGTGTTGGATCGCTCCCTCTGCCTTCAGACCAGGGCAGTCTCCTCGGAAGTCAGGCAGCGTGCCTAGAGCTGTGGTGCCTGAACTCGTGCCTTGTACGGGATGTCGGGATTGCTCCACATGGGCCCATCCACGGCCCTGTGGCTGCATCTGGATTCCTGACCCCTTTCGGACTGCAGAGCTCCGAGAAGGAGGCATGTGAGAGGAGGAGGTTTTCTGCCAGCACCGCTCCTCTGGCTTGTGTGAGGTTTGCTCAGCCTTGAAGGGTCCTTGGGCCAGGAGAAGAGGGAAGTGTGAGGCTGGATCCAGCTGCAAGCCAGAGGAATTTCCCTTGAGGACGGGGTATGGGTCTCGGCAGTCGGTTGGCTGTCCTGTGCCTTACAACAGCTGCTGCTGCCACCATCCTGCAGCCTGCAGACCTCCTCAGCTCTGTCCTCGCAGGCCGGTTTCCCAGGGGTGCATGAGCATCTGCCTCGCGGGGAGGTACGGAAAGCCTTGCTGTGGAAGGGCTGTGCTGCCGGGGGTACGGCTCGCGCAGCCTGCCCGGCGCGCCGTGGCCGTGCTCTGGGACATAAGTGCCGTGTGGGTCTGCCTCCGGCAGCCCAGCCAGCCGAGCAGGGTCGAGGGCTCGTGTGTTCCAACACCATTTGTGTTGGTGCTGCTGTGGGAGAGGGAACAGGACTCTGGTAGGGACGGTTGGAACAGTTTTTTCCCTGTGTTTTACAAGTTGCACAAAACCAGCGACGTTATCGCTCGGTAGGTGTGTGCCAGGTGCTGCCTGGTTTTGGGATGCTTTCCCTGACTGATTTTTCAGTAGTAGTTCAGAAACTGTGTTTGTGTGTGTTCACTGTGGGAGGAGAAACGAAGAGGAAGACAGAGTTATTCCC